AAAGTGGACTTGAGGATTTCCATTGTACGAAAAGATATGACTCTGCAAGCAAACAGTGTAAGCTGCCTTTTTTCTTAAGACCTGGACATTTTAAGACAGAAGCTTTGCAAAACATTACACAATTTTTTATTATTAAATGAGAAAATCTCATTTGTTACATCGTCACATTGCTAGTCAGAGAAATGCTGCAGTGATGAAGATAGTCAATGTTGGATCAACCAAAGTCCTCATTTCTACAACATTCATTTACAAAGAAATAATGTTCAACACAGCCCAACACAACATTCTTGGTTTTCTTCATAGTGAAGTCCCTCAAAAAAATCATCTTCTAATGGGGTATTTTACTACATAAATTATAGTTCTTCATTTTTACAATTCACCCCAAACTGCATGAGAGATGTATCACACTAAAATTTCTAAAGCTGTTAGGAAATCCTTCACACATCGTCATCATCTGATGTGTCACTGCTACTTGTCTCTGTGTCATCATTCTCAATAGTGGGTTTGAAAGTGCTGTTTTTCCAGGGTCCAAACTTGAAGTCACAGATCAGGCCATTTTTCAAAATACCATTTTTCCTCAGACCATTCTTCTGTAACTAAAAGATCAAAAATAAGTAAATTAAATAAACAATCTATCCTCCAGGGGTAACTTCTAAATTAAAAATACTGTAATAATTCAAAGTAAACATGAATATATTAATTGTATTCTACCCTGAAAATCCCAGATGGTATCATTTCTGAAAAACTAGTTAAATATAGGTAATTGATCCAACTGTACTAAAAAATATTTCCCAGGAATAAACCTTTACCTTTGAGAGAACCACAATTAACATCTATCAAACCAAAAAATAAGTAAAATTAGTGTGTATTAGCATAGTAGAAAGAACATGGATTGTAGATACAGACAGGGTGAGTGCCACTATCACTTGTTAAAGTACTAATAAGCATTCCCAAATTTTCATTTCCTTAAGTGAAAGCTGTAATAAATACCTTCAGATGTTTACCAGAAAATAATCAGCAGCCATTAAAGCTTTAGCTGTTTTTATTATTCTGACCAAACTAGGCTATTAACACACCCTATAAACCGCTTTATTCACACTTTGCAGAATTAGAAGAATACTAACTATTCCAGTACTAAGTATTCAAGTTAAGGTGCACAAAATAACAAAATCAAATAGAACCCTTTGCTTAACTGAAGACATTCTGATACTAGGGGGAAAAAACTAGTCTTTTCTTTCTGAAAATGAGAAATCAGAAATAAAAGGGTTAGTATGGTAATAAATAAGAACAGGGTCCAAAGATCACATATGGGGGGGGATCCAAATTGGAAGCAATTAAAAGACACAAAATTAATAGTGCTAACATATACTCTATTAACTCTGGTCTTTTGAATTTCTTTAATGGAAAAAGAGACTCTGGAAATTTACACCAAAATCCCTAAATACAACCTTCTATAAGACCAAATCCAGCTACATAATATTATTGGAAACTGTCTTTAAGTTTGACACTCTAGAGGGCTTCTTTTTTTTAATTGTATTAGGTTAGGTTCCAAATGACAAGGGCTGCTTACATCATAGCTACTTTTGTTACAGACCCGACAAACAAGAGATAACAAGTCTAGAAGTCTTAGCCCTCAATTTTCCTTTTACCCTATTTAATTCTCTATTTTCCATAGCAGATTTTCTTTCCCACCTAAATTCTACAGTTTGAACTTATCTTAAAATTACCTTCCCCTTCACTTTGAACAAATAACCTCCTACCATCTTTACTGAGAAAAGCCAAGGCCTATGTATGTATCCTCTGGTATTCTCAGCCACTGTGATGATTACAAATTTACAAATACACTCTGTCCCTTTTTTAAAGGTATACCTTTCCCATCCCCCAAAGTTCTATCCTTGCTTTTCACATAGTTATCATCAACGCTGCCTAATCTTACCACACCTTGCAATCAGCTGCAGAATATTGATGATAAAAAAAACAAACATACATGTATTTTCTCTAAATGTCTGCACTGGCCCCAAGAACATCTTAGTGTGTTCTTTTTAAAAATCTCCTTTATTTCTGTTGATAATCAAACAATAGTCGGCTCATAGGTTGAAATTTCAAATCCTGCTGATTCTATTTCAGATCTTAGTCTCATCAAGACCATTTCTAACTATGATTCCTCTACTTTAGGCCCTCATTTATCCCTCCTCTAATTACTACAATATATTCCCAACTGATCATCCTGATTCTAGTTTTCCAGGGTACACTTCACACTACACCTGTACTTCCTCATGTACAAATGACTGTTTCACATCCCTAAAAAACCTTCAGAACTTTCTAATCATAGAACACAATCTATACTTCTGGCACGGCATACAAGCACCTTTATAACAGGACCCCAATGTATTTTCCAACCTTGTATCTTGATTAAACTCCCAGAATACGATATCAGCCAGATTTGGGCTCAACTTCCAACTCTACTACTAATAAACTGTTACCACCGAGAGAAAATTACACAACCTCTGTGCACCTTAGTTTCATCATCTATACAGGACTACTATCAGTGCCTACTTCATACAAATGCTATAAAAATACACTTAGCACAACAGCTAGAAGGCATTAAAAGTTCATATAATTTTGGGGCGCCTGGGTGGCTCAGGCAGTTAAGTATCCAACTTCAGCTCAGGTCATGATCTCACAGTTCGTGGTTGAAGCCCCGCATCAGGCTCTGTACTGACAGCTCAGAGCCTGGAGCCTGCTTCACATTCGGTGTCTCCCTCTCTCTCTGCCCCTTCCCTGTTCATGCTCTGTCTCTGTCTCAAAAATTAAAAAAAAAAAAAAAATTTTTTTTTAATTTTAAAAAGAGTTCATACAATTTTACTTAAATTAGAAGGCCATGTAACTTATTCAAATAAAAGCACTTTTGAGAATGAAAGTGAGCACTTGCTATTACTAACTACAGCAGAATAACAAACTAGGATTCCCTAGAATAAACCAGGACTTAACACTTACCCTATTACTGTTACCATAATCTTTCATTAATAACTTTTCTGCCCCATGCTCCAACAACTGTGAATCCCAACATACATTCTACTCTTTTTGCCTTTGTTCACGCCTTGCAAAAGGAATGTCATTCCCTCATCTTACCTGTCAAAGGCCAATTCAAATCCAACTCCTCAGATACACTCTCCCAAAATACAACTGGAATTAATGCCTAGATTAATCCTAGGAATAGAAGTTCTATGTGGGCAAAAATCTTGTGGTTTTCCATTCTAGGTCAGGGCCTGGCATGCAGTAAGCACTCAAGAAACATCTGATGGATTTACATGACACGTATGCACGCATGCTGGCTCTCCCTCTCTCTTGCCCTCACCTTAAATATTTTGAAAACTATCACATTCTGCTTTATGTGGGAACACTTCTTACCCTCATTTAATTGTCACTCTATGAAGAAGCTCATCTATGTAAAGTCCGTAACATCTCGGGCATAGTGATTATTTGGTGTTTGAGAAATTTAAAAACAGGAGCTTGAAATCAGATGCTCCTATGTTATCAAATATAAATCCTTTTAATAGCAGTATCAAGCCCTAATGATTTTTCAGGCATCTACATGTCAAATGAGAGGTAATCGTTAATATCGTATTAACAGACGTATCCACGTCCTTATCATCGGTTCCGAAAAATTTATACTTACATGCCACTGCTCTCCAACATACAGTATGCACAAAATTCTTATGTCATATTTTATTACCACATTTTTAGTAAGATTTTCTCTACCTGCCCCAGTTATGACAATGTTTAAAGCCAACTATCTCAGTCAGACAGTATTTGTATTCTTTGAAACTACTACCTTGTACTTATCACGAGGTTACAGCACCTGGTAGATTTCTCTTGATGGCCTTTTCCTAGTTCAGAACAAATTGTTCAGAGAGATTCACAAACTGGTAAATCCATACAATGGACTAGTAACTCACCAAACATGGGTGAGTTTCAAAAGCATGAAAAGTGGCCAAATCTAAGACTATATAATTAATGCTTGGTTCAATTACTAAAAACATTCTAGAAGCAAGCTATGGTGACATAAAACAAATCAACGTCCGCCAGGGACTGGAACTGGAAGTAAAAGAACTGAATGCAAAAAGAGATGATGGTTTACACAACTATATACACCTGTAAAAACTCAGCCAACCATACACTTAAAGTCAAACTTCTATATGTAAAATATATAGTACAATAAACTTGACCAAAAACCCTTCACAACTATCACCCATCATTAACTTCACAACGATGTTGTGAACAACACATGGCTCAGTAAGAACTTCTGAATAAAAAATTTAAATTCTGAAGAAATATAAAAATGGAAAATACGTAAAATTATCTGTTCACAGATGACATGACCTTTTATGTAGAACACCCTCAAGATTCCACACAAAAACTGTGAACAAAAATAGCAAAGCTGTATACTGATCCATACACAAAAGTCAGTTGTGTTTCTGTAACAATAAATAATCTGAAAAGGAAATTAACAATTCTATTTACCATAGTATTAAAAAGATAGTACTTAGGAATAAGTGTAAAGAATAAACTTAACCCAAGAAAGCAAAAAATTTCCACAAGACAAATATAAATCATTGCTGAAAAATTTTTAAAAAGACCAATAAATGTAAGGGCATCCTATACTCCTGGGTTAGAAGACTATTACTAAGATGTGAATATTACATCCAAAGCCATCTACAGGTTCAATGCAATCCCTAGCAAAATCCCAAAGGTATTTTATGCAGAAACAGTAAAACTCATCCAAAACTCATATGGAATCTCAAGGGATTCCAAATCACCAAAACAATCTTTAAAAACAACAAAGTTGGAGGTTTCATGCTTTCTGATTTCTAAACTTATTACAGACTTGCAATCATCAAAACAATGTGGTACTGGCATAAAAACAAAGACCAATGGGGCACCTGGGTGGCTCAGTTGGTTTAGCGTCTGACTTCGGCTCAGATCATGATCTCAGTTTGTGGGTTCAAGCCCCGCATCAGGCTCTGTGCTGACAGCTAGGAGCCTGGAGCCTACTTCAGATTCTGTGTCTCCCTCTCCTCTGGCCCTTCCCCTCTTGAGCTCTCTCTGTCTCTCTCTGTCTCTCTGTCTCTCTCTCAAAAATAAACATTAAAAAAAAAATGTTTGTTTTTTTTTTAAAACAAAGACCAATGGAACAGAAAGCCCAGAAATAAATCCCTTCATATACAGTCGATCCTTGAACAATGCAGGAGGGGTTAGGAGCAACAACTCCCCTCCTAACACAGCTGAGAATCCATGTATGACTTTTGACTCCCCATACTTAATTACTAATAGCCTATTGTTGACTGGAAGCCTTACAGATAACAAAAAGTCCATTAACATATTTTGTACGGTATATATTAGACATAGTACTCTTATAATAAAGCTAAAGAAAACATTAAGACAATCATAACAGAAAATACATGTATATTACTGTGAAGAATGTGCATATAAAATGGGACAAAGGCAGTTGAAACCTGTGTTGTTCAAGAGACAATGCATACTCAAATGATTTTTGACAAAGTTTTGAGATATCCACATGCAAAAGAATGAAGGTAGTCCTTGCAACACAAACAAAAAACTAACTAAATGGATCCAAGATCTAAATGTAAGAACCAAAACTACAAAACAATAAGAAGAAAACACTCATGACATTAAGTTTGGCAATAATTTCTGGAATATGACAATAACAGTACAGGAAACTAATGGAAAACAAGAGATAAACTGGACTACATCAAATTTAAAGCTTCTTTGCATCAAAGAATACAATCCAAAGAGTAAAAAAGGCAAACTACAGAGTATGAGAAAATTATTTGTAAATCATAGAAGATTGAAAATCCACAACACATACAGAAATGCCACAACTCAGCAACAACCTGATTTAAAAATGGGCAAAGTACTTGAATAAACATTTCTCCCAAGAGGATACACAAATGACCAGTAAGTACATGAAGAGTCAACATCAACTAACCAATACAGAAGTGCATATCAAAACCACAGAGATACCCACTTAACAACCATTAGGATAGCTACTAACCATAAACAAACAAATTCTTGAGCACCAATGGTGGGAATGTAAAATGGTATAGCTACAGTGGAAAAATAGTATGGTAGTTCCTCAAGTTAAACACAGATGACCATATGATCTAGCAATTCCAATTCTATCAAACATTTCCTAATACTCTTTCAAAAAGGAAACTATGGAGACAAAAAAAAAACCAGGATGTGTTAGAGCATTAAATATTCTTATGTAAGGAAAAGGTAAAAGGTGAAGCCATCTGGGAAGCTACTGATGTTTTCTATTTTTTATCCCTATACTATTTTTTTAAAAAAGTCTGGAACATGACAAATCATAGACATATTATTTACACTTATTCCCAAGCACTGCAGACCTGTTTAAAACAAAAGCAATTCCGGGGTGCCTGGGGAGTCTCTGTCTCTTGGTTTTGGCTCAGGTCATGATCTCGCAGTCTGTGACTGAGTCTCACAAAGAGCTCCACACTGTCAGTGCAGTCTGACCTATGCTGTGATGGCTAATAAATTCCTAAGTAGGAAATTACTTAAAAAATGCTTAATGTAATATGTTGTTCTCATTAAGAAAAGGCAATTTAAAATGAACCTGTATGATTCAGGTCCTCTTACCTGTTCACTAATAACCTGGAATTCTCTCATTTCATCCTCAGTTAAGGGAGCACACGTTTCATCATTTTCACTGTCTTCTTGCCAGCCCATCTCCTTTAATAATCTGAAAAGAGGACAGGAAATAAGTAAATGAGAGCTTCTCCCAAGTAAGATAATTCCACTTATATTATGTGCAAGAAAACACCATCCAGATCCATTACACACAGTCCTCAAAATACATAAAGAGCCTTTTTACTCTGTTTTTGAATCTTTCTGAAAATGAACCAGTAAGGTTAAACCCCAATAAGCTTCAGAATAAATTGCACAATTGCTTCACCTTGTTGTCAGAGGTTCTCTAGGCTGGAAATTTGCAAAAGGGTCTCTAGACACTGAAAAAATTTTGCTAAATTCTTACACTAAAAGTAAAAGCAATACTCCTCATTTTCCTTAACACCACAACAATCCATCACATTCTTAGCTACTCATTAAGTTTTTTACTTTGAAGACAAAAGACTGAGTTATGTAACCCCCTACTTTGCATTTTATACTGTATTTTTCTGTTGATACCACCTGTAATCAACCTTAACACATAATTCAATTTGAAACTGGCATTACGCTCTACAATAACAGAAAGACAACTTTTTTAAACACTCTTAACTAGGATCCAAATAAGTAAAATCATAAGGTTATTCTCTTTTCCTTCCATGTTTTAAAGAAAATACCTCCATCTTAGGCAAAGATAATCCCAAAGGGGAGAGAGGGGGAACCAACCACTTTCTCCACTCAGGTAAACACCACCACCATAGTCATAGGCTGATGCATCTGACTCAACAATTTCAAAGTTTCAGCCTCATATATATATATAGCATGTATTGGTCTGTTAATAATTTGTTTTCTAATAATTATGTCTCTTAAATATTTGTTACTCTATGACTACCCATCTTTCAACTTGAGCCTGCCACAAGAGTCCTGTACCTTTTCAAATAATCTCAGAATATCAATGTTCAGAGAATCTGAATACAATTTAACACTACACTCATATTCTACATGTAAAAAGATCAAGATCACTGAAGTAAAATAATTTGCCTACCTGACAGCAAAGAAGGAAACAGAATTCTGGTTTCCAGCTTCCCAAGTTAGTATATATTGTACCAAACCCTCTAGACCAAAATGTCATAATCATCGTTAATTACTATCCTTTTAATCACTTAACACTTCTTTTCCAACACAGTCTTCACTCTTTAACCTAGATGGCTTCCCTGTGGAATGGTATTTTCATTCCCAATGCCATCCAGTCCAGAGTCTACATATTTAGATTGGTAAAGCAATCTAACTACTTTTGCTAGATACTCACTTGTTTCACTATTAAAAACTGCATGTTAACCAAACAATAATGCAAACAAAACAAGTCATTTCAAACTGTGTAAAAGACAAGTATTCCTAAATGTCCATTCTCACATCTTTCCGCTTCCAGAGGGTGTAACTGTTAACTGTTCCTGAAATAGCTTTCAAAACAAATAATTTTCCCCACAGTTAGGAATATACTGTGACGGTAATTTGTACCTTTACTTCTCATTAGCGTTTCTCCTTGTGCTCTTTCAAACTACTACCAAATCACCCTTACACCACTTTCACAATAACTACATACTAAGTGTTTCTAATGGCTTTCCACTTCCTCAAGAACAAACTCCTTAACTTTAACACCATGACCACAAATTCAAATTCCTTACATTAGAAAAAGCATAGGTTTAGAAGCAGAAGACTTGGGCCACAAACAGGTAAAGAACAAAGGTAAATTCCTTCACTTCCCTGAGCTATTTCTTCATCTGAAGCAATGACAGTGCTTGACTAATCTGGAAGGCCCTGCCTCTTCAACATCATCTCTAATTCCATTAAGGACTATACTCTCCTGTCAAGATACTCCACTCCTTGCTCCTAAAACAAATGAGGTTATGTATTCAACCCTAAACATCCCTTCATACCCTCTTCTTCCAAAATGACTATCCAGTTATCCACATTAATAAGATAATGTTTCACCTTTAAAGATTTAATTTAGCTCTGAATTACAACTTTCTGACTGGTACTCAAGCTATGAGATTTACCCCAAACTCCCCCTGAATTTCTCTGGCACTCATTTGTGCTAATTCATGTGATGCTTTTAACAACAATTACCCCCTCTAACATTCAAGCTATCTTCACTATCTGGGTGATATATTGAAACTTGACAACTGGGGCACCTGGGTGGCTCAGCTGGTTGAGCATCCAACTCTTGGTTTTGTCTCAGGTCATGATCTCACAGTTTCTGAGTTCAAGCGCCACATGTGGCCCTGTTCTAACAGCACAGACCCTGCTTGGGATTCTCTCTCTCCCTCTCCCCTTCCCCCATTCACACTGTCTCTCTCTCTCTCTCTCATAATAAATCAACTTAAAAAAGTAATTAAGAAACTTGACACCAAATTAAAAATACCGTATTTTTCCTATTTAACTTTTTCTATAACTTTTCATTTTATATTTTAGTTTACACATGTGAGCAACACAATCTTCATCCTTGTGATCTGTATCGCTGACACCTGGTTTGTTAAATTCAATTAATGTAAGTACTTAATATGCACACAACTTAAGAACCAAAGTTTACAGGAAATCTAAAGCCATGGAAAAGAAATACCACCTCCTTTTCAAAGAAATAAAACCCCACATCTAGAAGAAGCCATTAACTTTGTTACCTAAAAAATGTATTAATATATTATCTGTGGAACACATACACAACATATACTATATTAAGCAGAAAGAAAACTCAAGCTAAAAAATTCTGGCTTCCACTCAGGTCATGATCTCAAGGTTCAGGAGATCAATCCCTGGATTGGGCTCACTGCACCAAGCCCACCTGGGATCCTCTGACCCTCCCCCACTCACCCTCTCAAAAATGAATAAACATTTTAAAAAGTTAAAATGTTTCCAAAGTAGTAGTAGGTTTACTTCTTTTTACTGACTTGGAATTCTTTTTAGAACACACAACATTTCCACAAAATAATATTAGATCTTAAAAAAAAGACATATATATAATGAAATGTTCATTTAAGTAGTCCTCATTGATAATCTCCTTATGCAGCATGGGTTCCCACCCATCCCCACTACAGCTTATTCCAATTTAGAATGTTCTCTTCTTGCTCTATTTAGCTTGGTTCCTAAACCCTATTCTCTCCATTTTCTCCTGTTAATCACCACCAGAGGACCAAACTGTATTGAGGTGTGGAACTTCAAATCTCTCTTCCCGGAGTCTTCATGAATCAAAGAAACCACCAAAATACTTCCTACACTAAATAGGTCTGCAAATGAAGAAATAATAATGAAGTGTTAAAATTAAAACACTCATTATAGGTATCGGGGTTATCAAGAATATTTTCAAACAAGTATGGCTCAACTTTCTTTTGCTACAAAATACTGAAGGCATATATAAAAACCAAAAGGCATTATTTCAACTTTTTTTTACCACAGTCTTAAGAGATTTTATAGGTAAATAATTTACCTTTATTTTATCGCCTATACTGTATCTCCCCTAAAAGAAAATTCATCTTTTACTATCATTAGAACGTCTGGTTTGTACACTTTCCTTTCTATGGACAAGACTTCTTTTCTATCAACTGAGTAGAAATATTTAAAGGACTACTGGTAAAAATGGAAAGTGGAAAAAACATCTTTGGGTACTAACAAAGCAGAGTCTAATTAGGTGTGCCCATGTGACCAATCAACTTCATTCCTAGTAATGTTTTATACACACTTATACAAATGTTTACGGATATAAATACAAGGATGATCGCACCAGCACTACTTATAAAAGAGAAACAGAGAGAGGGATCCCTGATAGAGAAATTGTGTCACAAATTATACCTATACTACAGAACAGTAGCTTCAAAGGGGGTATATAAGATGATATACTAGAATAATGGGAAAAAATACTGGAATGTCTACTTATGCCTATCTTCTAAAAAAGGAATTAATGCTTACTATTATTTTCTGCATCACAGGACATTGCAGACATTACTCAGCCTAATCTCAGTCACAATCTATATAGTATGAGGTAAACGGGAATTCTACAACTGGGGTGGGAATAAAAAGTGTAGTTACTGATCCATTCATACTAAATGTACAGTAATAAAATATAGTTTGCCCAAACAAGGAAATTTATAGATATTACCCAGTTAAGTCAGCTCGAAATTTATCTAGCTAAATTAACTCTCATCAAAAGGGCATTTGCATTTATCATCAGTCAATTAAATTATTTTAAGGAAAAATGAAGTCCAAGTTAGTATGGGATTATAAAAATCAAAACAAATGCCTGTATTCTAATATACAATAGTTACAGCTGCCATCTAAAAAGAGCAGAACATACTTTGGTAAAAGGGAACCAAAATCATCAGGACAATAAATAATAATGAACTGGGCCAAAAAGACCAAAGACTTAAAGGAGTCTTTAATATAAATTTTTAAGTTATTCCACAGTAGGTATAGCCCACTTCCCCTTGTCTTAGAATTAAATGAAATTCTCTGAGAAATGGCATTAAACCAAACACAAAGTCAAGTTGATCACTAAGGCAGTTAACAAGTATCACTTGACACTTAGCCTGGTCCCAGAAGGTGTTAAGAATTTTTAGTCAACAACAATTCAAGGGCACCTGGGTGGCTCAGCTGGTTAGATGTCCGGCTCCTGACTTCTGCTCAAGTCATGATACCACAAATCTATCAGTTGGAGCCATTCAAACTATCTTGATGATATAATGAAACCTGACAACTGGGGCACCTGGGTGGCTCAGTCAGCTGAGCGTCAGACTCTTGGTTTTGTTTGGGTCAGGTCATGATCTGCAGGTTCCTGAGTTCGAGCCCCTCGTGGGACTTTCTGCTGACAGCACAGAGTCTGCTTGGGAATTTCTCACTCTCTCTCTCTGCCCCTTCCGGCCCAACTGTCTCTCCCCCTCAAAATAAAATAAACAAAATTTTTTAAATTTCATCTTACACAAAGCAGTTGCAGACTAATACATGATGATACAACTGCATATATTAGCATTTTCTTGCTTTAGAAGTTGTACTGGCAAACTGCATAAATATGTATGGAATCAAGCTTATAAAAATGAAAACTGTAGACTGAACAGTAATCTAAAATAATCCTAGTATCTATGGCAGAAGAGCTTAAGTTTTGGTGCCATAATTTCTCCCTTCATGGAGGAGTTAAATCAGTTGAAGTATATTTCTGTAACACAACTAAAGTCTTCTTTTAAAATTAAAACAAACAAAACAATCAAAAGCAATTAAGCAGAAGTCCACAAATCTTTCATTTACTAATGCTAAACCATGTGGTTTATTTCAAGACCACATGAAGGGTAAGGCATTTCTACAAAAAATACCTGTTCTTAACTATAGAGTTATGGGAAGGCCGGGAGAGTAAGGGGGGAGGCAGGACAAACATTCACTCACTCACTCTCACACACACACACACACACACACACACACACACACACACAAATTGGTAAAAGGGCTTCATCAAAAGTTTTTTTATTTCAAACAGTACCACTGAGACAGTGAAAAGACAACTCACAATGGGAAAAGATACCCGCAAATTATGCCTATGATTCAGGACTTATTTCAACAGAAGTTTCTTCAAAAAAGACATACAAATGGCTAATAAGTACTTGAAAAGATGTTCATCACTGTCAGTTTTACGGGAAATGCGGATTAAAGATACCTCTTATTATCCACATGTTAAAGATACCACAAAAAGGGGCGCCTGGGTGGCGCAGTCGGTTAAGCGTCCGACTTCAGCCAGGTCACGATCTCGCGGTCCGTGAGTTCGAGCCCCGCGTCAGGCTCTGGGCTGATGGCTCGGAGCCTGGAGCCTGTTTCCGATTCTGTGTCTCCCTCTCTCTCTGCCCCTCCCCCGTTCATGCTCTGTCTCTGTCTGTCCCATAAATAAATAAAAAAACGATGAAAAAAAAAAATTAAAGATACCACAAAAAGATAGCACTTCATTTCATTTCCATTACAATGGCTAAATTAGGGATACCTAGATGGCTCGGTTGGTTAAGTATCTGACTCTAGGGGCCAGCTCAGGTCATGATCTCACGGCTACCCACTTGTGCTCTCTCAAATAAAACTTAAAAAAAAAATTAGAAAAAAAAAGAATGGCTAAATTACAGGCAGATGGTAACAAATGGTGGTGAGAATATGGAGAAACTGGAACCTTCATATAATGCTGATGAGAATGTAAAACAGTACAGTCATTTTGGAAAATAGTTTGGCAGTCTCAAAATGTTAAACATATCAATTCCACTCCCAATATCTACCACCAAAAGGACTAAAAACATGTCAGTACAAACACTTGTACATGAATGTTCAGAGCAGCATCATCAGTAAGTACAAACAACTCAATTCTCATTAAAATTAATGAACAAAATGTGATAGAACCATATAGTGCACTGTGAATAAAGATAGTGACACATGCTACAATATGAATCTTGAAAGCATATGCTAACTTAAAGAAACCAGACATAAAACACCAAAGTATGATTCTACTTCTATAAAATATCCAGCAAAGGCAAATCTATAGATACAGAAAGGAGACTGGTGGTTACCTCGGACACAGAAAAAAGAGAGGAATAAATGCAAATGAGCACAGATTTCTCTTAGTGGAGATAAGATTGTGTTGACAGTTGCACAGCTTTGAATATACCAAAAATCATACAATTGTACACTTAAAATGGGGGAAATTTGTGGTAAATAACTCAATGAAACTGTTAAATAGATCACAACGTTTCCATACTAATATCAAAATCCTGTAAAGAACACAAAGAAAAGAATAAAAATGAATACTAACCGGTGTTCTGCCTCAAGCGAACTTGAAAGAACATCAGTTTGTGGGAAGGTTGAAGACCGAATGATCTGCTGGGAGATTACTGAGGCATTGCCATTCTCTTGTGGAATTTCATTTTCATCGAAGTTTCGGTTTATATCCCTTTCTTGGTGAGTAGTATTGCTGTTATGCAAATTAAATGAGTCGTCATCCTGGTTTAGGGGGAGTTAAAAAAAAAAAAGAATGAGATAGAGAATACAATTGCTAAAAATTTTAATAGACTCTTGTTACATTTCCAGACAATACATAAATGTTATAATCATTAAATTTAGGAGACATTCTCAGACCATGTAAACTTAAGCTGTGAAGGATACCCCAAAGCTTTCCAACTATTTCTTCATGACTATTCAACAAAGGCAAATCAAAAGGATGAAGATAGGCAATGTGGAAAACAGAAGAAAACATTTTTGCACAGGAACACCAGAATGAGCAAAAAGTGCTTCAGAAAGGAAGTCATTCTTTATGCAAATAAACAAACTAGCGTTGCTTTCAGGAAGATGATTATTTTGATAAAGTTTATTCAAAGGTCTTAAATGATTATTTGTCTAAATAGTTCAATGACATATTAATGTCAAACCAAGAGTTACTACAAGTTCAATTACCTTCTCTGAGCCAGCATGACTTTCATCTTCGTGTTCCTCTTCTACTCTATCCCTTTTCAATGCTTTCAAAAATTCACTCTTCTTATCAGTGCGCATACGTGTCAGTTTGGTTAGACGAGGTTGCTGATTAAGTTTGTCAACAGGTGAAGAGGAATTTGAGCGATTACACTAGAAAAAATTCAGAAATATTAATAAACATGTAGACAAAGCGTATCAATGTAAAGTTCACAACTACCACAACTTCCTATTTCATCTTTCTTCACAATACAAAACAGATTTTAGGTCTATTTTCTTCTATACCTGTATGTTTTATCTACCCCAGTGAATGAGCAGATTTTCTTTCTTCTTTTATAAATTTTTTTTTTAACATTTATTCATTTTTGAAAGACAGGGAGACAGAGCGTGAGCAGGGGAGCGGCAAAGAGAGAGGGAGACACAGAATCCGAAGCAGGCTCCAGGCCCTGAGTTGTTGGCAGAGCCCGATGTGAGGCCTGAACTCACGAACCGCGAGATCATGACCTGAGCTGAAGTGGGACACTCAACCGACTCGGCCCCCCAGGTGCCCCAAAAGACTTTTCTTTAAAAAAAAAAACAAAACAAAAACAAAACGATTTTGTTATAGCATAAAACAATTAAGGTCTGGCAATACTAAAAACTACTGTTTTAAATTAAGAGGGTTTTTTTTAATTACTTTTTTTTGAGAGACACAGAGAAGGCATGTGTGCAAGCAGGCTGTGGGGAGAGGGAGAGAAAGAATCTAAAGCAGGCTCCACACCCAACACAGAGCCCGCCCATGACATCATGATATGAGCCCCAAAATCAAGAGCCAGATGCTTAACTGAATGAGCTGCCCAGGTGCCCCTTAAATTAAGAGTTTAAATACAATTTTATAAAATATTCTAAAGCTATTTAAATATGCCTAAAATACATATAAGAGTGATTTTTTTTTTAATTTTTTTTTTTTAATTTTTTTTTTTTTCAACGTTTATTTATTTTTGGGACAGAGAGAGACAGAGCATGAACGGGGGAGGGGCAGAGAGAGAGGGAGACACAGAATCGGAAACAGGCTCCAGGCAAGAGTGATTTTTAAAACTGTGTTCCTCAGTTTTAGGGTCCTAAAAATAGTTTCAATAAAACCTATTTTATAATTATTTACACACAGATACACAGAGGGTTTATCAGGTAGGATTTCACCAAGGAAAATATTTGTGGTTGGGCAGGAGGGAGGTAGGGAGAGACCTGTACTACAGTCCTTTTGTTTTGGGGGTTCTGACAGTGGAATACATTAGAAAATAGAATGTTACAACTCCGTGTCACAAAAATTTGTAGCCATGGAAAACTACCGTAATGCTTAACTATTGGCAACACTATCTACAAACTATAAGGAATCTAAGCCACAATTACCAGCTATGAATGCTGGTCCCTTCATTCCAGTTCTAAATTTCTATGATTATGAGGGGCTATGATGTTCCAACAAAGTACGGAGAGCAATTTCAAATGTAGCAACATAGTCACAAGTGTCTTTTGACCCTCAACTAATCAGAGAACTCAATGGTCTAGAAGTTTCAGAAACCTGGCCAAATGACAAAAAAATACTTAAGCTACCAGGCATATTAAGTCCATAAAGTAACAATATGCACCTTCCCCTCCCTCTTCTCCTCTCTTGCCCCTTAAGTGTTAACACTAATAAAACATGTTAATAAAATAATGAAATGTCCATCATACCCAATGGAAGATTATATAATACAAATCCTCATTTTCAGTCAAAGTTCAATCCTACAGCATAGCCTAACTCTTAACACAAGTGTCAAAACTGCAACTGTCATAATCCTTTCCTTAAAAATTATTTGTGGCAATGGGAAGCCTAGGTGGCTCAATGGGTTGGGTGTCCAACTCTTGATTTCCACTCAGGTCATGACCTCATGGTTCATGGGTTCGAGCCTCGCATCAGGCTCTGTGCTAACAACTCAGAGCCTGGAGCCTGCTTTGGGTTCTGTGTCTCCCCCTCTCTCTGACCCTTCCCTGCTTGTGCTCTCTCAAAAATACATTAAGAGGGGTGCCTGGGTGGCTGTCAGTTAAGCATCCCACTTCAGCTCAGGTCATCATCTCAGTTTGTGAGTTCAAGCCCCACATCAGGCTCTGTTCTGACAGCTCAGAGCCTGGAGCCAGCTTCACATTCTGTCTCCCCGTCTCTCGGCCCCTCCCATGCTCATGCTCTGTCTCTGAATAATAAATAAACATTAAAAAAATTTTTTAATAAACTTTTAAATATATATTTAAATTATCCATACTTAAAGTGCAAAACTGATCAGCAAAGAGCAAAGTACTTGAATCACGTTTTAGGGAAGAACTAATATATCTCATTTTAACGTATTCATTTAATGAATCTATGCCTTTTGTTCACTATTACATTGTATGATTAAGATATGTTGCATTCCTCAGGAATAATTTTAAATAACATACCTCTTTCACTGAAGTTGTTGATGGGCTAAAATTCTTGGCAGTTGATTTAAAAGCATTGAAGTTGCCAACACCATATGTAGACTCATGAGGGAAAGAAGTCCCAACTTTATTTTCTTTAGTTTGGCTTTTCCATTGAGTAGGCTAGAGGAAAACATCAAACATTAATGTCTATCAAAAACAGATTATTCAGAGGAGAAAAACAAAGTGAACACAATACAGATGACTGTGTGTGACTCATAAAAATAATTATTGTATTACATCTTAATCATTCCTACATATTTCTCTTCTTTTTCTACAACTAAAATCAAAGCCTGGTATTTAGACAAAAAACATCTGACTACATTACTATTTTTACAAGGTCTTACAAACCTAAAGTCAGGTTTGTTTTGCCTAATATCAAGAAAACACAAGTACGAGTTCCAAAAACCTAAAACTGAACAGCAAGGAAACTATGTACTATTTAGCAAAACAAAATTTTATAGATTTACTACCAATAATATAAGAAAACACATACATGAGCAAACACACACATCATTTAAAAGATAATTAAAAGTAATGATACACAATGGGTGAACTCTTTCCACTTTAAAGTCAGTATCCCACCAACAACCCCTCCCACTTTGGTATAAAATTTTTTAACATTCTATTCTCAAAGTAACCCAATTGGTATCAACTTAAAACTTGCATTTTAAACAATTTAGAACTTACTTTTGTAGGTGGAGCAGCAGGTTTAGGGACTAAGCCTTTATAAACACTTGGACCAGTCCCATTCTTAACTGGTTGTGACTGAAGATTTCCTACCACTGGGAATCCAGATAGCTGTAAGTCTTTTGTATTACCTTTCTTAATGACCAGCATCCTTGGAGCTCTAGATTTAGGATTCGGAGGATATTCTGCATAAATAAAGCACGAGCAAGAGTTACATACAGTTTAAATTTTAGCATAAAATTAAACCACACACACACACACACACACACACACAGCATAATCCAATCCTTGATTATATTTAAAAATAATTGCTGCTTCCTGGACAAAATAATTAAGTTAAATAAGTATAAGCTATATTCCTGCTTCATAAATAAAGCTAAAACATAAACAGAATATAGCAAGGATTGCACAATGTCAAGTAATACAAATGAATTCAGCTGAACACTGGCCTAAAACGTTAATTAAATTTTTTAATTGCAAATTTCATTCTAGTCTCCTAAGGCTCAGAATATAAAGTACATTATATTTTCCTCTTCTCCAGTTTCAAAAAATAGTTTTTCTAACTCCTCATTCTTATCTCACTTACAAAGTTACTATCAATAAACAAAGAACTATAGTCCCTCAATTTCTAAATTGCTACTCAAGTTGTGACTAATAAAAAACAGAATTCTATTTTCACAATACCAAGTCATTCAAATATTTACTGGCCATCTAACTATAATGAAGGCATTATGTAAGTTATAGGGTAACAAATTCAATTCTTCTGAAGATAGTACTAGGAATAATTGCTAACAGAGCTGTTTTCTCAAGAGAAATTCAATTGCTAAAATATGAAAACCTGCCCACAGAGTTTAATTTTAATCCTAGAATTTAGTTAGTGTAGGTATTACACGTGAGCATGTTCACAATTATTGTGGTGATGTATGTCTTTCTTCCTTTACAAAAATTCTCTAAGTGTCAGTTTCATAGTTGAAGAGTTTAGAATAAAAGAATTAAGGGGAGAAAGCTTAGGAAATCTAAATCAAGATTAGCATTGTGTATTAAATAAGTTCCTGTGACATGCTGAGTTGCCTAAATGTTTGTGATGATGCCCCACCTCAAACAAACCAAACCAAAATTCCTACTGGATCATCTCAAAATCTAAACAAGGACTTATAGGGGCATGAAGAGACTCTCAAACTTCATCTGAGGCTTCAAAATCTTCAAAATATAGAGCTGGTATGCTACTTCATTTTACTGCTGATGTATAAAAGAACAAGAACCTAGAGCAAACTGAGCAAATCCTCTTAAAAGTTAAACACATGGCTAATCTACTAAGGCAAATATTCCAACTTCTTGGATGCCTTACAAGGCCCAAGGAATAAAGGCTAAGAAAGAAATCTTTGGTCACACAAAAACAGAAATTAAATCAGCAATATACAGCTTTTCTAAAGAACTTACACAATTAAGTCAACAAAACAAAAATTAAGTATAAAGATGTTTCAGGGTGCCCGGGTGTCTCCGTTGATTAAGTGTCTGACTCTTGATTTTGGCTCACGTTATGATCTCACAGTTCATGGGATCGAGCCCCCAATAGAGGCACTGTGCTAACAGCATGGAGCCTGCTTAGGATTCTCTCTCCCTGTCTTTCTGCCCCTCCCCTGCTCAGACGCATGCGTGCTCTCTCTGTCAAAATAAGTGAAGAAGAAAAAAGGAGAAGAGGAAGAATAAGAGGAAGAAGAAGAGGAAGAAGAAGAAGAAGAAGAAGAAGAAGGGAAAGAAAGATCTCACAGATGAAAAAAGAACCCTAGAAATAGCACTAAACCATTTAAGCTTTGCAATTATTCTGGTAAACAGATGATGATGGTGAGAATAAAACTGGGGAAAAAAAAGATTGCTAAAAGGAATCTCAAGAATCAGTAATGACTGATACTGAGAAATGCAAAAGGCAGTAAGAGTTTGCAAGGTCTCAGACAGTCAAGTTCTGAAACAGAGGACATTTCTATCAGTACACCACAATTAAAGAAGTTCAAACATGGCTGATAAGCACACTTCCAGTTCAAAATGGCCCATTAAGCACACAAGTTTACCTTCTTTACCTTAAAGTAGGTCCTATGTTAAAATTACTATAATGGAGGAAAACAAATACAACAGGAAAAGAGTCACCATCATCAGCAAGGGGTGATGTCAACCCACATTTATGAAGAAGTAAAGAAAAAAACTTTTATTGAGTGTGCACAAAGGAACCTAACAGCTGAGGATGGGACTGATCCACCCCTGAATCTTGGATTACAGACCTGTACTTGAAAAAGCTACACATGGCAGAGGGCAGAAGCGAAACTTTTCAAAGATCAATCGCTATGAAAAGAAAGTTACTAAAGGAAATCCTAAACAATGTACTATAGGCAGGCAAAAATGATCCCACATGGAAAGCTGAAGGTTCAAGAAAAAAAATAAAGAAAACTTTTGTGTATAAGCAATCATTAATCAAAATTAGAAGGCAGAAGAGAAACAGCAGACAAGCAAACAGGTATGTTATCTTTAAACCTCAACATACTTCCTGACTACTAAGTTCACTTTCCTAAAACTGGATTCCTGGACATCTAGAGCAAAAAATAATGTGGCTTTTTCCTCAAAGAAGCCTTCAGGGCAAAGACAGAATATTCTATAAAGAAGGAAGGTGAAGGGACATGTGGCTGGCTCAGTCGGTAGAGGATGCAACTCTATCTCAAGGTCTTGAGGTAAAGCCCCACGTTAGGTGTGAAACCTATTTAAAAAAAAAAAGAAATGTGAAGCCTAAGAAATAAATCATAGAAGACTAAGTAGCAAAGTAAGTATAGTACAGAGGTTAAGAACATGGGCATTTATACCAGATTTATAGAATCTTGCTCCAACTCTATTAATTCTCTCATCTATAAAATGAAAAATAGCTCCTGTCAGAGAATTACTGTAAAATATTTTAAAATACTAGAAAAAAAATCTAGAAAAGTCAGACTATCTCCATTATAGTATGCTTCCAATTATATTTCAATATTGTATTAAACTTTAAGTTGATTTACAAAATTACAGAAGATGAGAAAAATTCTAACAGAAATAAACACAGACTAACCTATATCCTATGTAACTGTGCTGAATATACTACATAAACCTGCCCATTTAATAACAAGAGCTCTTAATAGCAACCATTACAATAAAAGTAATGGAAAGGATGATGGCAGCACTAACTGTCCAGACTTTGAGTCATTTATATTACAGTTGACCCTTGAATAACAAGATCTGAAATGCACCAGTCCACTTACATGCAAGTACTTTTCCAATAAATACATAAAAGTATTATAAGCATATTTTTCTTATGATTTTCTTAATAAGGTTTTCTTCTCGTAGCTTACTCTGTCACAATATACATGTAATACACAATATATGTTTTAATCAATTATGTTATCGGTAAGGCTTTCAATCAACAGTACACTATCAGTAGTACTTAAGTCTGGGGGGCAGGGGGATCAAAAGTTATACAGGGATTTTCGACCAAAGGGGTGGGGTAAGAGGCATTAAGGCCCCCAACTCCTGCACTGTTCAAGAGTCAAATGTACTTATAAACATGTTCATCTGTTCAGATTCTCCCTACAAATTCTGACATTAATCTTTCAAGTGCTGAAGCAGTTAGATTCAAACAGTATCCAATGTCTCCTTCTATTCTTTCTCCATTTACTTTGTCAACTGGTTAACAATATGCAAACACTTGTATTAAAAAAAAAACTAGAAAGTAAGTGATCTCAGTGACTTCCCTCTGTAAATTACACATCCATATTATTTCCAACTCAGATAAGCAGGCACTGTCATTGAAATTTAAGTTAAAAAGACCTGAAGGCAAAGGAGTTTTAGATTTTCATATACCTGTTTTCTGCTACCCTCACAAACTATTATCTGACAATAACTTACTTTAAATATCCCTTTATTTCCTTGTTATTTATACTCTCCCAATATCTATGGATACAAGAGATTTTTTTTTTCTTAAATACAAAGTCAATGGTGGGAGGAGGACTGGCTCAATTCTTTCTAGAAAAAAACAATTAAAATACTGCCACCTATAATACAAACTAATTTGGCAACATGTGTAGTTAAGAGCAAACATTTCAATTGTTCATCCTCTTGTCTTTCACTACATTCCCTCCAAGTGTCTTCTATACGTTTTCTGATTCAATCACTTATTACTTTATTCTTTGATCTCTACCCTAAAAATTCCTCTTTTTTTGCCTTTTAATGAATCTACAAGAATATCCATCACTTAACTAGATTTGAACATAACTTAGCTAACGTTCAGGTTCATTAAACAACGCTAACATGATCAAGTTGTTTTACATAGATTGATTTACACAATAATTTTAATATTTTATGCAATTTAATATTTATACTGCTTTTCTCATTAAAATTGTGATCACCCTCATCTCTGAGATGAGAAAATTCACTCAGATTAAGTAATCTACCCAAAAGTCTAACCATCAGGTAAAACACCTAATGTTAGGGGCCCTGATCTATCTCATTCCATAACAAATGTCCTTAACTACTATATTATATACTAGTGGGGAAAATGGGAATTCAAGTATTTACTGCTATGCCAAATACTTCAAATTGTTACCATCCCCAACTAAAAATAAGCATACTAGGCCTGTAACTAAATGGTCAGAAAAAAAGTCTGCATACTACCAAGTGAGATCAAAATCCACCCTTTTCTGATGCCAAGTTACTGACTTGGTTTCATGATCTTGACAAAAGAGTTAACTTTAATGGGTGAACAAAAGCATATGGCCAAATGAAGGGTGAATCACATGTGAATTAAGTTTTCACACTAATTTGAAGAAGAAACTTAGTCACATAAAATACAGTAATACACAAATATCAAACCCAAACCTCAGCAATAAAAACAAATTCCTATTGTGAACACTAATTTTAACGCAGAAAACTAAATGTTTCCGATTTAAAGAAACTGACGTGGTTTGAATCTTTTTGGTTTTCAATTTTTTAATGTACAAATCTGTTTTGTTTCACAATAGAAGTTTGAAACAAATGAGTTTCATTAACTTATAATGTAAGCCAACAATAGGGGTATGGTGTTTTTTCTTTAATAAGGCTCCCTACATCACTCATACTTCTAAAAGAACTTACACGATGAACAAATAATACTTCTAACTCCGACCAAGTAAAATTGACTTCTGTCAAAGTTGTCTAATCAAACTCTATTCATTTTCCCTTATCAACCTTTAACGTATGTTGCATTACCTTTTTCTTCTTGTTCTAAGTTTAAAAACTATTTTCGTAAGACATTCAAGGAAAGTGGAGTCATTTCCACATATAAACTACCAACAGATACTTTTACAAAGAAATTCGGTAAGGATTATCCTTTCTCCTAATTCTACTTACAGAGTTCCTTTAAAAAACAAAATTCACTGGCTTTCATCATAATCGAATTCACTTAATGCAAACATGCATGTCAACTCAATGTGTATGCTTTCGGCTACTATAATTGGAATTCTCTAGAAAATAACCCATCTTTAAGAAATAGTCACCAATTTGCTTTTAGAAAGCCAAACAAATAAAATTCTTAAAAATGAATATTGATGCTCTTAAGTAGTATATCAAATATAAGCAAAAAACAGGAAAGCTCATCAAGTTATCAAGGAATAGACACAAAAATAAATGCTAAGTTTAAACAACATTATGCTTAAATTACTGAGTGAAATTTTTCATTATTTAGTATCTTTAGAACTAAATGTCAGACTCTGCCAATAATACATTGCTGACATAATTCATCAACACAAAAATAGCCAGTAGTACTTCTGAAAACACACAAATCAACAATTACTAATTATGTATCAAATTGGATACAAACATATACACATCATTTTTTCTCTTTCTCACCTCCCAAATATATCAGTCACACAACTGAGTATTTTTAAATGGTCACAGGCACACTCAAGTACCTTTTAGTTTTCAAGTATTAAAGATATAGATTAATTTAGTAAGCATTAACCTTGGACACCCAATAACAGTGCTCCTGATTAAGATCAAAACAATAAAAAAGTCACAGATATAAGCTGCAGGAAGGGGTTTTTTAAAAAGCTAAATAAGTTCTAAGTAGAATTACACTTATGTAATTATATTTTAAACAGTTTAGTTACTTTCCCTCAAGGTATTTTTTTTAATTGGGATATTTTGTTTAGATTCTTGCAATTTCTGATCTACAAAAGGACAGTTTCAGGGACAAACTGGTTTGTTTAAAACATATTACATTTCGGTTATTAAATTTTTACTTACCTGGAAGGAAGTAGCACTAGAAAAGTTCTATTGAAGTCTTTCCTAAAATTCTCTCATGTCTTCCTCAGGAACATTGCTATTTTAAATGTTGCAATGGGGAAAACGATATTTGGGAACCCAGGGGGGAAAGTGAGAAAGGAATAGTGAAGTGTAATACAATGAAAACTTCATTGTATTCCTATGGGAAGTACTGGGAATTTAACAGTTAATCAAGCCACAATTAACCATTTTCTTTTTTCTAATGCAAACACACTTCTTAGTTTACCTAAGGCACAGAACATCTTCCTTTTAAACATCTTTTCAACTAGTGCTCAAAATCCTTAGACCAACCCTGAAACAGTAGAACCAAAATCTTTATATTAATACATTTTATTCTCAATATTTTCAAAGATGTACTTGCCTTTAAATCATTTCTAAAATTATTAAATTAACCAAGGATCAGTACCAATAGTATCTATAGGTAGTTTTATATGACAAAAGCTCACTGACATTAATTTTTTATTTACTTTCATTCTAATCAAATCCAAATTATTCCTAATTTCTTAAGAGACTCTATTTAACACCTTCCAGGTGGTTCTATATTCTTATGCAATCAGCTGTTCCCAGAAAAACTGAATAATAAGGAAACATACCTAAGAGAGGAGCTTGGGAGATTTTTTTGGTTGGGTATGTGTGTGTCTGGGCGTGTAGGCCTGGGGAGAGTGGTAGAAATACTAATTTGCAATACAGAAAAAACAATGCCATTCACATGGTTCTAACAAAAGTGTCTGACCACCCCCACCCCCACCCTCAAAAAGCCCTTAAATAAATCGGGAGATCAAAAGAAAACAAAGTAATGCCCCAGAGTTATCACCCATAAATACATTAAAGAACAGCATAGGAAGTGGCAAAGTTTAAAATAATGCCTTTATCATTAGCACTAGTATGCTGTCACAAGCCACAATCCTTTTATTTTGGTAAGTTGATAATTTTCAATAGGAAAATACAAATGAACATGTGTATAAGTTCCAAAGTGGATTCGTTGCCTTTGAATTTGGCATCAAATAATTAAATTTATTTTTCAGATATCAAATCTTCATATTTAAAATTTTTTCCATTATTTTAAACTTCACTTGAATCTTTAAAAAGCTGTCTGATTTGTACTCTATGAGTGCGCTTTAATCTTCTGTAAGATGCTATCAAATTAAACTCAGCAGTTTTAAAGAAAAGGGGTTATTACCAAAAAAAAAAAAAAAAAAAAAAAAAAAAGTCATTAAGCTCTGACAATCAAAAAGACAAATAATTCCAAACAGATTAGTTCCATAGGCAAATTTATACAAGTATTTAATACTCTCTACGTATAACCATTTTCATAAGTAAAAAGATTAATTTTATGTCACACTATGATTAGAAGTACTTATCTTTTCAGTTTTAAGTTTTGAACTGTGAAAAACTAAAAATTAATTTAAACTAAGTTTTTTGTTTCCTTAAGATTATCAGGCTGCGTTTGAAACAACATTGATTCATTACATTAACTTACAACCATTAAAAAAACTCGTTTAAGTATACTTAATGGTACTAATCTGTGCAAGTCAAGTATTTCAAATCAAACTCCTTCTATCCCCAGTATCTTTTTAAAAGGTAAGTGCTACCGTTTTGTGTAGCTGAGCACTCAAAAACATATTTATAAGAGTAAGTTTAATTCTAGACTACTCTTTATTTTTAAAAACACAAAAAAGTGAAACATACAAATAACATTTTATACCCCTCAAAGTTAAATTAAAAATTACTTACCCCATACACCTGCAGCTAATGATTTATTCTGATTTGGTTCTCTTTCATATTCAGGATTTAAAGATGGCTGAAAAAATTGGAATGAAAATAAATGTTCACGCTGCTCACATTTTTTAAAAATAAACCTTTTAAAAGTAATCTCAAAACCATACTGATAAAAACCCTGATATGATACGATGAACTCTTAACTATTAAAGACCATTCAGGAACCTCACTAACTTATTCTGCTAACCATCAAAATGGTTACTATCTATACTCACTTCTACTAAAGAGAAAACAAGGAAATGGTCTTTAAATATTCTTATCCCCAACTACTTGAGAATTCGTGGATTTAAAAAAAAAGAGCAAACAAGACAATGTGGTTTTTTCATCAACTGGAAAAAATCACCCTTTCTTAGCCTAAGGTCAAAAGCAAGGAAGAGAAAAATCAGACTACTCCCAACAGGTGTTAGGTTTTCGTTGCTGGATGCATTCGTTGTAACACACTCATTCTCAAAACAAAGTACAAATTTTTATTTCAACAAGTGATTCACAGGATATTAAAAAGAAAAGTGATTTCAGCATTCAATGTGTACTCAAAACCAATTTTAGAATCCTAAATTCCCAGGTATTTTCTGTGTTACCTAGCAACAATGCCTGCCTTAAAGAAGGTATTTAACACATGTTGAATAAAATGAATCTTGATATATTTTACTTACGAACAAAAGTAAACTATTTACACTCTAATGACATTATTGTAAATGAAGTCCCAAAAGAGTATACATGCATACCAGTATGATTCCTTGATACAAACTTAACAGGACTGAGAAGACTTTCGTGGAAGCAATAGGTGCTTTCTAAAAAATACAGTATTAGAAATTACACTATAGGTCTATCTATCTTCAGGGCTAGGATCATGACCTCGGAAGCGATCAGCAACAGCGACAACAAGGCTGTTTTAACAAAGTAACAAAAACACTATCTTTGCTAGTCACAGCTATGCAGTTCAAGCCAAGCCATCATTTTCTTCTGAACTAATACCGCTATTTCCTAACTAGTCTCCCTGCTCTCACTCACTGTTATTCATTCAAGATTGAACAACTAAAATACTCTTCTAAAAAATTAAAATCAGATCAAATGATCCAAAGTTTTCCTTTGATCCAAAGGAGCTTCGTCCTACTGCACCTATAATTAAACTGAAAGTCTTTCCCTTTACCTGCCCAGGTCCTACTCAATCAAAACCTTCTGCTACCTCTCTAATCTGGTTGAATAGTCACTTTACCCATACTGACCTTTTCCCCCTCAAACATTACAAGCTTGCTCCCCACCTTAGGCCCTCTTCCCAGGATTAATAAAGCTGACTCCTTACCAACCAGGCCCTAGATTAAATGTCACTTCCCTAGAGAAACGTCTCCTGATCTCCAAAAAGTAGCTGTCCTGTCACTTTTTACCTAAATTTTCTACAAAATACTAATTACTTTCTTTTTATGTTGTGAATACATCTAATAGAACAGAAACTCAGTGAGAGTAGGACCTTGCTATCTTGTTTCACCTTTCAAAACAGCTAGACTCAGAGCCAGTCAAATATATACTGAAGAACGAACATAGACAAATAATAAATTACCAGAGATGAACCACAAGAAAAAATGCCAAGATCAGTAAGATTTTACACGAGACCAATTTTTCATGCAACTAGAGAAGCAGTGTGTTTAGACAGTCACATAGTGAGATTTAAAAATAAAGAATAATTAAGAAAATTCTGAATTTTTGTAGGGCACCTGAGTGGCTCAGTCGGTTAAGCATCTGACTTCAACTCAGGTCATGACCTCACAGTTAGTGAACTCGAGTCCTGCAGCAGGTGAGCACGAGCCCCAATTCAGATGAGCCCCACTTCTCTCTCCCTCTGCCCCTTGTGGGATTCTCTATCTCCCCCCTGCCCCGCATCATTCACTTGCACGTGTTCTCTCAAAAAAAGGAGGGGAAGGGAGGGGAGGAAAGGGAGACAGACATACATGAAGAAAGAAAAAATTCTGTTTGTAACTAGTTCATAATTTGTTTTTAAGAGTGGAGTTAACTTTTCTAATTGTATCTGACCTAAGCCAACAAGTGGTTTACCTTCCCTAACCACTGAGAAACTTTTGAATAAAGTAGCTGAAAGACAAGGAGAACTATCCTGGAAGTAACTTAAGAGTAATATACGAATGGGGGCACCTGGGTGGCTCAGTCAGTTAAGCGTCTGACTTCACCTTGGGTCTGATCTCACCATTAGTTGAGTTCAAGCCCTGCATCAGGCTGTGTGATGACAGCTCAGAGCCTGGAGCCCACTTCAGCTTCTAAGTCTCCCTCTCTCTCTGCACCACCTCCCACTCACATTCTGTGTGCGTGCATGCGTGTGTGTGTCTCAAAAATAAACGTTAAAATAATCTTATTAAAAAAAGGTAATAAATGAATAATAAAACATTACTTAAAAGAGACAGTCTAAATAAAATGTACTAGTAAAATATTCTTTCCAAAAGCTTAAAAGCTTTTCAGAGATGTTATGATGCACTTACAAAAAAGCTAGCAAGCTCAGCCATTGTTTCTAAGGGAAACTGTTCAAATTTAAGAAATAAAATGACACAGATTTATCGAAAGTTTTTAAATGATTATATGGTTAAGACACAGGAGTAAGTAGGAGGAGGGAGAGGAATTGAGGAAAGAGAATTATATAAACAAAGAGCCTCACAAAATGTTGAAGATTAAACATAACTGAACCTACCAACTATGATTTCTATAGATATGAACCATAGTGATAAAATCTCCTAAGAAAGCCTTGATGTTAAAATGGCGCTTGCAGAAACCTCATTTGTATTAAAGTTACAAGAAACTTACAAAATCCTCAGCCTCAAACTGTTTGCGTTCTCTCTTGTCTTCTTTCCTCCCTGCTTCATTGTCAGGTATGCTGTTTTCATGTAGTCCTTGGCTTTTCCCAGAATGGAAAATACTGCTACGAGAACGAGAACTTCCACCATGGTATCCCCCTCGATGATTTATGTTTTCAGTACCATTTCTTCCATGCATCCGCCATCCATTTTTTTCTTTCCTTCCGAAGTTACCTTATTTAAGAATGGTAAAGTAACATAAATTCAAAGATGGCTCTGGTTAACTACTGAATCACAAAACATTCTTAAAACAACATGAAGAAAATCATCCTACACTCTCACTTCTTAGCAAATTTTACCTCCATTAGGACGTCCAATACCAGAATCAAAGCCATCTGAAGAGTTGTGTCGTCGACGATTCACATCGTAACGATTTTCTGTCCATGAAAAATTTTCAGAATGCTTCTCAAAATTCAGTGACGACTGAAACAAATCATAAACACATACATGAACATACACATAAAACCTAAATATAACTTTAAAAACTAGTAATAATCCGGCCTACATTATTTCCAAGAATTCTAAATGGTTAAGAACATTCTGTATTTACTGTCCATGTATTTGGTTAACTGGTAACTTATTAAAAGATAGATTCCACTGCTGGTCTATTTTCCTTGTCTAATGGAAGCTAATTTGAAAGAGCTTAACAACCACATCTACTTACCCAAAAACTTTAAAAGTAAAATACCACTGTAAGGGAAACAAGGCAAAACGTAGTACACTTCTCTTAAGTAACAGAATTTGACATTCTGTATCATACATTACTTAATTTAAATATAAATGGCTCAAGATTTTCTTGAACAACAGAAAGTTATGGCAAATGAAGCTTAAATTCTAATTTAAGTTCTCCAGATTGATTTCCAAACTCCTCTTCCCCACAACAAGTGTTTTTTGAAAATTATCTAAAGAACGTATAGAGGCACCTGGCTGGCTCAGTCAGTGGATCATGTGACTATGGACCTCGGGGTTGTGAGTTCAAGCCCCACATTGGGTGTAAAGATTACTTATAACTAAAATCTCAAAAAATAATAATTATTTATAAAAACTATTTTTAAAAATTAGGGATTTACAAAGAACATAAAAAGCCACAACTGTTTTTAAAGGTTGCTCTTCTTCCCCAGTATTAACCCATGAATCTGATAAAATCACAATCAAAACTTCCAACTTTTAAAATGCCCTGACCATTTCTCTGGGTTGGACTTATGTTACAACCATCTCCAGGACAATGAGCAGAGTACATCAGTTGAAATGTAAACCACTGCACATACTGGGTCATCCCCTGGGCCTTTCCACATTGCCACTGTGGGACCTTGTGGTATCATTCCCCTATTGCCCCAGCCTTATCTTGATGCTGTTTATTGTGCCATGAAAGAGAGTCCTTGACCATCTCAAGTCTTCACCAGCATCCATGAAACAACAACAGGCTACCATGCTAGGCCTGCAAGTATGATAAAAACACAAACCCTTCACAGACCGTAACAGTTTTGGTGATGAGGATGCAACAATAACAGAGCTAAAATTCTCTAGAAAAAAATTAAAACAAGGGTCTGCAGGCCAGATTAGGGTAAGAGAAGACTCTCATGATCCTGGCAGCAACTGCTATCATCCAAGTGATAGGTGGAAGTAAGCATCCCTCAATGTTTAACAGCCAAGTGGCAAGGAGTAGAATTGAAACAAGGCACCCAAACAGTGCCTTAGTTGTTCTAATTCTCCCATGAATGGTAGAACAAAGGGATTTTTTATTATGACTGGGGCCCCAAGTGAAAGGCAATAACTGCTGTGGCTGCTGAGCCAAAGCAACTCCACACTGAAATAAATGGTATCAGCAATGAGGATAAATGGAGTTTTAGGAAGATTAAAAACTCATGAGAAGGAATTATGTTAACACTACTGACTTCTTGGAAACAAAGTAAATGCAGAGCCTAGCATGCTGGAGTGGAAGTGTTCTGTGCCTTCTGTACTCCCTGATCCCCGCCCCCCCCACTTCCCACTACATCACCCTTAGCAACTTTAATGAGAATGTCAAGTACACTGATAGTTAAGGAAACTGACAAACTTCTATAGCTCTGCTAGACATACATGCTCAAGTCACCATCTCACTCCCATGAGGAGCAACACAGTACTAAGCGAAGGGTGGCTGAAAATACTGAGGAATGTGGGACAAAGCCAAGTCAATGTGGTGTATGGGGGGAGGAAAGGCCCCATCCTGGGTGTTTGATGAAGCCAAAAGGTACACAAGAGAAGAGGCAACATCAACTCTGAGTTGAGGAATCAGAAAACAAAAAGCCTACAAACCACCCATGCAATGCCCAAAGGAGTGGTTTTCTCCTCCACCCTGCACTTTCCCTCATTCACAGATGAAGAAATCATTTCCTGAAAGCTTAGAGTATGACCTTAAAGCGCATGGACGAAACTTCTCCGTCAGTGTCACTATAGTGAGAAAAGATGCCACTAAAACCCAATTTGACTGATTTTGGAGTTTGGAGAAAATTCAGCAGTAGGAATGGGAAATTAAAGTGATCTTGCAGGTGGGGCCTTTAGGCCAATTCAATTTACCATTGTTTGTTGTGTTTTAACTTGGTACTAACGTTACATGCTTGTAATGAAAATGCTCAAGATTCTTCCATTCAGGGATATGACAGGATGACAGGTTTCTGTCCCCCTTCCAGGTCGTCTAGCAGAAACACCAAAGCCTCTCAAAAGAAAGAAAAAATATCAGAGACAGAATTGAAGATTTGATGGATAATGGGATATTCAGAGAGGCTACTTCCCAGTACAGAAGTGCCATGTGCCTGACACATACATCCCCTTTCTAAAGGGAATATGGCTCTTGCCCTACTGCTGAGCTCTTAAAGTGAACAACTTAAACTAAGAACAAAAAAAGGGGCCCATTAGGGCTCTCAACCTAATGAAAAGTATTTGAGCATGCAGCTGACCTGACTACTGGGACATTTGTTTTGCACAAAGAAGTGGCAACTACCCTTTAGAGTAAACCTTATTCCTCTGCCTGCCACCTTAACAAGCTCCTGGTTCAATAAGGCTCTCAAATCATAGTTCCCTTAATTCCCCGGGGTCTGGTTCAACTAGGTTAAGAGAGGACAGTGTCCACTGGGTGGCAGCAGCCATCCAGCCTCAACAACTCTGGAAGACCAAATGGATTGTCAGTCAGCACAAAGGGCTAAAATGAAAAGCAGGACCCTGGCCTTAGATAAGCTTTAAGGACTAGACATTTTCCATTATTTTTCTGCCTCTTCGACTGTTGCCAATGTCCAGTCATCTGGCCAGTCACCTGAGAAACTAGAGACTGGCAGATTAAAGGTAATTCTTTGGAGTCACAAACTGAAACTATAGCTGATGAGACAATGTGAGTCACTCAGATGCTCACAGTAAGATGCGCTAGCATAAAGAACTAAAATCAGAATACTGCTGAAGTCTGTAGCATGCTACCTAGATCCACCACACCAGACCTGTAACAATTCACTACCATAGACTGGTCACAAAATAAACGACTTTTCCTTTCTGATGCAGAAGCCACCTCTGCATGCCAGCCTGAGACTCCTGCCAACAGCTCATCTACTTGTCGTGCTGCAAAGGAGGCCACGTTACACAAGAGGAACTGCATCAAATCATTGATCACTTCTTGGAGCTATCTATAGTGTTTCTTCACTGTTGAAATATTTTCAGGTTACAGTGTTGTTGCTGCAATCTGACTGGCTAACTCTAACTCTGGTCACACTATCATGACCCTTGAAATAAATCCATGTCATGTTTTTGGTATTCCAAGCACTAACATTCCAGTAATAGTACATCTTTTGTCATAAAGTTCAACCTGCAATGGGTCGATATTCAAATACTAAATGGACACTCTATACCCTCTACTATCCGCAGGCATCCAGTATTGTCAAGCAATACTAACAATCTCAACATTCAACTCTGGACAATCTACAACTCTACATTCCTCATTTCACACACCTTAATGAGACACTTTGGTCAATGAATGCAACAAACCCATAAAGAAATCATCTTTTCTTAGCCATTTCCTAGGTAGTATTTAGGATTTTAAAAAATGAGTTAAGAGATAATACAGACCTATTTTTAAAATATCAGGATTCTGGGGGCCCCTGGGTGGCTCAGTCAGTTGAGCATCTGACTCTTGCTTTTGGCTCTGGTCTTAATATCACAGGTTCATGGGATCAAGCCCTGCGTCAGGCTCTGCACTGACACCGTGGAGCCTACTTGGAATTCTCTCTCTCAAAAATAAATAAAATAAACTTTAAAAAACAAAATACCAGGATTTGCCCTGATTATCCCTTGACATATTGTTTCTTTCTCCTAAGAGAAACTGCAGGCCAATGTACCTCTCAGGGTGATGCACTGGCCAAAAAAGAAATCTAAAGAATTCAAATAATCTGGTTTGGCCACCTGGATTCTCTTTTTGGAGGGAGATGGTCCTGTATCTGAAGACAGTGACCATTTGTGTGACTATCTCTCACCCAGTCCTCAATAAGGTCCAATGTGGACTAGGGTGAGCAATATGATACATCACTGCAATTACGTAAAAATGTCCTTGGTTCCACTCACATCCAATTCTTCCAAACCAAAAAATCTGGGTACAAGTAGGGAATTTTCTTTTAAGTGAAGTCAGCTATCCAAATGAGACACATAAGGGGTGCCTGGGTGGCTCAGTCAGTTAAGTGTCTGACTTCGGCTCAGGTCACGTTCTCACGGTTCATGGTTCGACCCCCACGTCAGGCTCTGTCCTGACAGCTCAGAGCCTGGAGCCTGCTTGAGATTCTGTGTCTCCCTCTCTCTCTGCCCCTCCCCTGCTCACACTCTGTCTCACTCTCTCTCTCAAAAGTAAATAAACATTAAAAAACAACAACAATAAATGAGACACACCAATTTCATGGGTGTAAAAGAAAAAACGCTAGGGGCGCCTGGGTGGCTTCTGTTGGTTGAGGCGTCCGACTTCAGCTCAGGTCATGATCTCACAGCTTGTGGGTTCGGGCCCCGTGTCGTCGGGCTCTATGCTGACAGCTCGGAGCCTGGAGCTGCTTTGGATTCTATGTCTCCCCTGTCTGCCTGTCCCCCACTCACACGGTCTGTCTCTCTCTCTCAAAAATAATAAAATAATATTAAAAAAGAAAAAACCCTAGCATCTGTAGAGGGAACATCTTTGACCCCAGAAAGTACTGGAAGAAAGGAAAACAATTAATGCTCTAACCCCTAGAAACAGCACCAAGGCCTGAGTCAAACAGAAACGGAGAAGAAAACACTCATCTACTGCTAGAAGGATCATCCCTACTCATACTTCAAAATCAGAAAAACTCATGTGGCCATAAACAATCCTTAAATATTCTCCTGTGCCTGATATCAACAGCAGCTCCTGAAAGTCAATGTGTAAAAAACGCTTAAAAAAATTG